GCAGGGGGTTGACTACTTTCAGACCTTCTCCCCCAGCCCGAAGATGACCACTCTTCGGGTACTGCTGCACGTTGCTGCTTACCGTGACTACGAGCTGCACTCTCTCGACTTCAGCACAGCTTTCTTGCAGGGCAGCCTGCACGAGGAGATCTGGCTGCGTCGCCCACCTGGCTTCACTGGGTCTTTCCCTCCTGGTACCCAGTGGAGTCTCCGGCGTCCAGTCTACGGTCTCCGCCAGGCGCGACGTGAGTGGCACGACACACTGAGGACTACGCTTGCGGCACTTGGGTTTGCTCCTTCTACTGCCGACCCGTCGTTGTTTCTGCGCACCGACACCTCTCTGCCGCCGTTCTACATCCTCGTGTACGTCGACGACTTGGTCTTTGCCACAGCGGGCACTGCTGGACTCGCTTACGTGAAGTCCGAGCTGCAGAAGAGACACACGTGCACTGACCTGGGTGAACTGCGCAGCTACCTTGGCTTGCAGATCACTCGGGACAGAGCACGCCGCACCATTACCCTGACTCAGTCACACATGGTGCAGCAGGTCCTTCAGCGCCTCGGCTTCACGTACTCCTCGCCTCAGGCCACTCCTCTGCCTACACGTCACTCGCTCTCAGCTCTGCCTTCGGATGAGTCCGTAGAGTCGAGTGGCCCGTATGCAGAGCTTGTTGGCTGCCTCATGTACCTGATGACCTGCACACGACCTGACCTTGCATACCCTCTCAGCATTCTCGCACGCTATGTTGCTCCTGGGAGACATCGACCAGAGCACATGGCTGCAGCGAAGAGGGTGTTGCGCTACTTGTGCAGTACGTCGGGCATGGGGCTAGTGCTTGGAGGGCGTAGTCCAGTGGTCCTCACTGGGCACGCGGACGCTTCTTGGGCTGACGACCAGGCTACACAGCGGTCGTCACAGGGTTACACCTTCAGCCTTGGTTCCGGCTCTGTCTCGTGGCGGGCTACTCGCTCGTCTTCTGTTCTCGGCTCCAGTTGTGAGGCTGAGATCTACGCCGGGGCTATGGCTGCTCAGGAGCTTCGCTGGCTCACCTACCTGCTGACCGACCTTGGAGAGCCGCCTCGTTCTCCTCCAGTCCTGTACATAGACAACAAGGCCATGCTGGCCTTGTGTCGAGAGCAGCGACTGGAGCACAGGACAAAGCACATTGCTCTCCGCTACTTTCTTGCTCGTGAGCTGCAGCAGCGTGGACAGTTGCGACTTGCGTACGTGGCCTCTGAGGCCAACACTGCTGATGTCTTCACCAAGGCACTTGCGCCTTGTGATCATGAGCGTTGCTGGACGCAGCTGGGTCTTGTGCCTGTCTTGTCTCACTTGCTCACTTCTTGACCTTGCTTGTACCTTGACCTATATATACTCTTGCTCTTGCTTGCTTGATTCTTGTATATCTCTATATATGATCTTGCATGCGAACTGGCCTTGTGGCCCTTGACCTTGTGCTCGGAATGTGTGGTGACTTTGTGATCCACCCTGAGCTTTGCTTTGCTTTGCTTTGCTTGACTGGTCTTGTGACCCCTTGTTCTCCCCCACTTTGCCTATGGGGGTGTGTCAGAACATTGTAGCTTACTTGTTTGTGTAGGCTATAGTGGGGTATCCCATAGGGGGTACAACCCAATTAGGGTTTCCTATTTGTACTCACCTCGTTCGTAGTCAACTCATTCACGTTTCTATTTTCACAGTACGCACGTGAATCTTTTTTAATTATGCCATCCCTAAATCTCTCTTGGTTCACTGAGTAGTAAACGTGATGATTTCAGAGTGTCTACTTGCAGGGGGACTTTTTATTCGAGATAACATGGAAGTGAAGATCTTTTCATTATTCAGACATGCCCAATGTCATTCTAGGTCACTGCAGTGAAGGTGATTATGTCAAAACACATGCTATTTTTTTTTAAGCTGATGTATCACTTGAATATGGCATTTCACCCTCTAATGTGTTGGTTTTGTGCTGTCAGGTTATTTTGCCTGTGCTGTGCTTTGATTTATATATTTTCTGGAGCAAATGTACAAGGCCATGTTTCTTACGTAGTCATGATGTAGTTGTGGTACGGCGTTTTGTTTTCTAATATATATATTTGACATTTTTACAAATGAAAGCTAATTTCGAGAAATGGACACTTTGTAAAGAGGTTATAATGGACCTGATGGCGATATGTAATAATTGTTTGCTCTGTAAATATAGGTTTTGCAAAGTGTATTTTCCCATAAATAAATGTTGTACTGGACTAAATTATAACGAGGATCATTCCGAGCGTGTACAGTGCATGCAAAATATTTTATAGCCGATAGAAACGTAAAATCTATAACTGGAACCGGCGTACTCAATAACGGGGTTTAGGCGGATTGTGTGCTAGACACGTGTGACCTAAATCTGCCCTCATAGTTACTTTTGGGTCAGTCTATCTGACCCGTACCTGACTTTTCCCGCCAAATTTTGACCCGTACCTGACCCGTAACTGACCCGTACCTGACCCGAAAGTCACTTTTGGGTTACCCATTCTGACCTCAATCTAGCCTAAAGTGTCAGTTCCAGAAGTAACTTTTGGGACATATTCCGAGATGTCCCGAATATTGCCCGAAAGTCACCTGGGGGCCCCTTTTGGGTCAGAACATTTTGGAGATGAGGTGCAGTGGACGGAACGCACATTCAAGTGAGAGGTATTGATAACTATCGAAGTGAGTATTATTGTCGAAAACAATTTTATTTGGTACAATTTCAGATCACTGTGGATGCCAACGGCCGCATATGGGACTACGTGGTGGGCCATCCGGGTTCTACCCATGACAGCCGAGTGTTTACTGGTTGCGCACTATTTTCGCGTATGGCTGAAGGGGACATAGTACCTTATCAATTGCTAGGTGACGCTGCCTACCCACTACGCGATTTCTGCTTGGTTCCAATCATAGCGAGCAAAGCAAGGTTGTTAGCTGGATGGGAGCAAAGCTTTAACTATGTGCAAAGCGCTACGAGGATGCCTGTGGAGAGAACCATGGGGTTGTTCAAGAATCGCTGGCGCATATTTGCCAACCGCCATGAAGGCAAGTTGTGGCGGGTGTGTGCAGGGGTTGGTTTCGCAGTGGTGCTTCATAACATGATTGAGAGTCAAGAGGAGTGTAGGAAGACATCGCGAGGGTGGTGGCGAAGAGGGGCCGTGCGGACAAGGAATCGTTGGTGGGAACGGAGGGATATTCGCAGGTACCGATGGCAGCCAACGCCCGCAACCAACCGCGATGCTTGCGTGATCCGACGTCAACATTTCGGAGAGGCGATTCACGAAGCGTGGCTTAGGCGCCACGAGGCGGGTGGCTCGAATGAGTAGTAGCCGGATAGTAAATGTTTCCTTGGCTGTCCATGACCACCGTCTGCATTACGGGTGGGGCTGACGCCTGGTAGAATGGCGGTGGCGCATTTTGCACGGTCACTGGATGGATGTTGGCTGGCGGTTGGCTGAACCACGCGGGCACACCTGCAGGTTGATGTTGCGGATTGAGCCCAAGTACCGTCGCTGAGGGTATAGGGAAGGCACCGAATGAGCCTCCGGAAGGTCCAGGAGCTCCAACGGCGAAATATGTTCCGGGCGGTGGTACACAACGTTCGATGGCATTAATGAGGCGCTCCATAGTGGCTCGCTGGCTGTCCGTACGCTCATGCACCAGTCGGGTCATGTGCTCGTGGGTTGAGGCTATCCCGCGGTCCGTCCGCGGGGCAGGAACGCGCCTTGGGATGCTTGGACGTGTCGGCGTGACTTCAGGCTCTGTAACTAGAACGTAGGGATGGGAGGCACGGGGGGTTGTGGATGTCAGGGGTAGATTATTGGGGTTGTTGCCAGGCACGTAGTCTGTAGCAGCCGTTGCATAATGTGTTGAATTCGGTTGCAATTGTTCATAGTGCTCGTGCTCTAAACTCTTATTGGTACCTACCCGCGGGTTCCGTGGCGGATGGTTGACTTGCTGCGCTTGTTGGGCAGGCGTTCTCTGTCCTCGCTCCACCCTCGTCAATGACATGTGGATTTGGAGCCCGGTCGGAGTATTCGAAATCGTAAACGTACTGGTACCAATCGGGTTTTGGCATCGGATGATTGCCCGATGTCTCATCCGCCTTTTCAATCTCCTTCATTCTGGCCCTCAGCCGTGGCCACTGCTTCTCCAATGCATCCGCGGGCCGACGCCATGCAGGATTTTGACGAGCTAGTAGCACTTCAAGCCTTTTCCAACGTTGAGATCCTTGCTTGCCCTTGAGTTTGACAAAGTCTTCTTTAGTAGACCACATGGCGGCAGCGAAATCAGTTAGCTCATCGTCGTCCCAGGTCTGCTTCCGCTGGCCAGCCCCCTCTACCTTGCGCTTCCCTTTGTGAGAATTGGTCGCGGAGGAGTCAGAGGTCTCGTTTTCTCCGGCACCCTTGACGGAGTAGACAGCATTGTGACCGTCGGACTCCCCAAAAGATTCAGCATCAGAGGCCGAAGCAGCGCCACCGTGATGTGAAGTGGAATTGTTGGAGGGACCAGAAGCACGAGAGCGTCCGGAAGATGAATCTTCAGACAAGCCTATCAATCTAATTCGTTTCACGCCTAGCGCCTCCTGCTCACGCAGCCATGCGGCGTAAGGGGTCACTGCCGCCTCTCCCTCGGATCCAGTGTTGTTGGAACTAATCTCTCGCTCACGCCTGGAAGATGAGGCAGCCATTTCGCTAGACTGTCGTTAGTCGACTTGGAAGTGGTGAATGGAGTAGATTGGGTGTCGGGATAAAGCTACGGGTACTTGTAATGGTAGGCTTCACGTTCTGTCGGGAACGTTGGATGCAACATTTGGCATGGCTTGGTTGTGATTGGAGCACATTTGGCAAGGCTTGGCTGGGTTTGGAGCCGCGCGCAACTCTGGGCGGACTGGAAATTGCGCGGCGCCAATCTGTTTTTTCATCGGGTTCCCCCCAGACTGTTTTCGACCGTGTTATGGGAGATTGTGGCCGTTTGGAATTGGCGCATGAACGTTGAATACAGAAGCATGTGATTGGTTGGAAGTTTTCTCACTTGTTTTTCGCACAATGAGACTGACATCGCATGGCACGTGTGTTGGGTGTGCAAAATACCCAGGACTGCCACGCTGGACCAATAGTGCAGCACTCCGAACTTCCCCCATCTCAGGAACGCCATCTAAGAAATTCGCTGGAAATGTTAGAATACCTCGATATTCAATACAATCGCTGAACAAACGAGGCTTACATTCATAACCAGCCCATATAGCATTGTTATTTTAGCAGCCTTGCTGTTTATGACAGTGGCATGAGAGTGATTAAATGGGTTACTATATCCCCTAGTAAAGTTCTTACTTTAGAAAATGACCCCATTGTTCAATGAAAATTGATTCATTACTTTAGGATGGATTATCCAGGAAATATGCTCGAGGTAATATAGGGTATGCTCGACACCAACCATTTTGGAAAAGCACTGGGTTGGCAGCCACGTGGCTTCCATTTATCGGCCCGCCGCCGCGCCATCGACCAGGAAAATGCTCGCACTTGCTGCTGACTGACAGCCACTGATAGGCGGACGACAATTTTAAGGGAGCCTCGATTGTGGTTGGTCGGATCACTCATGTGGTGGTGGTGCGTTGCGGTCTTACTATCACATTCCGCCGAAGCATTACCCCCTCAACCCCCCTAGAGAATTGCTTTTTTTCCTGACGAAACCAAGCTGACGTGTGGAGGCAGTTGTCGCCAGAGTAAAGCCAGCAAACAACGGTTTAATCTGCCTCTTATTATCTCGGCGTCGCGTTTTTGCATGACACCCGAGATGCAATTGCGAAGGCTTGGGGAAAAGAGACAGTGCGGCTCGTTTTCATAGGTGGATCACGGAGGCGAGCGCTGGGTCACGCACGGCCCGTTTTTCCTCCTGTGATTGGTCGAATCAGGAAAAGTAAGGCGTGGATTTGCAAATTCGTGGGTTTAGGTGGAATTCACTTCTGAGGGTCGTTTGTCAGATTCGTGAAAAGCTTCCAGAGGAGCTGAGAGGATCTCCACGTCATTCAAGTATTAGAATTTTCCGGATTCAGAGGAGAATTGTACTCGAATGAGAGGATGATTACCTGAGCTAGATTTGCCGGTTCAGACACGCGTATTTTAGCTATATCTTTTCTGGAAATGTGAGCCGAGAAGTATTTCGCAAAAAGCCTGTCAAGGTTCGTAGAGGGTTTTTAGGCGACTCGGCATCTTTAATATATTAGATTCCTTGTACCCCTGCGTTCCGCTTCTGCTTTCCTCATAGAATGCTTTCGTTTCTTCGCCGTTGGCGTTCTCGCTTCCTGCTACAGCGTCCTGATTCCATCGCTATTGTCACACCCGTTACCCGAATCCCACCATCAGATGGATTTCCTGAGAGCAGGAACGCACATGATGATGTCATCGTTCCTCTACACCATCTCCTCCGGCCCCACTTTCTCCTCAACCTGTGAGTTTCTCCGCTTCTAATTGTTTGTTTTCCCCTTCTATACAAATCCTCAATAAACGTCTACACAATCTCTTTTAGTCCCACTTTCTCGTCGAGCAGTGAGATCCTTCTGGATTATAATTATATGTGTCTAATGCTTTGGAAAGTTAGTAACGTCAACTGAGAAAACACGACCCCTACTCCCAAACCACTCGCGCTCCACTTTCTCCTTTTTCACTGATCCTAAGCTCCCTCTCTCCCTCCGTCACTCCCTCCCTGACTCCAGTTTGGCCGTCCTTCTGTGGTCCCCACGACCCCTACTCGCAGCACTGCCTCTCCACACCCCTCCTCTCCTCCTCCGCCCCTCCTCTCTCCTCCACCCCACCCAGCCTCCTCCTCCTCCCCTCCTCCCGCCACAACACTCTCTCCCAATTCTCCCCCGCTTCCCTCCCTAACATCACTCCCTCCATTGTCACATGGAACCAAATAGAGCGCCTAGCGACAGAGGAAACCAGCCCAGGGTACCTACCTCCGTGGCTGCTCTACCTCCCAGTCTCCCCGTGCCTGCAGCACGCGTCCTTCCTGCTCTTCTCAGCCTTCTTCATCATCTGCACCCTCTCTCACCTCCTCATCCTCCCCAAACCCCAACACGCACATTCCAGCCCCGCTTCCCCCTCCTCCTCTTCCGGTCCTTCCTCTTCCCCTTCTGTTCCCGGCCCTTCCTCTTCCTCCTCCGCCTCCCGTCCCTCTGCCCCGTCTGCTCCTGCCTCTCGCTCCTCCCGCCCCCCCGGGTCTGACGTTCAGGGTGCTCCTGACACAGCAGATACCGCAGGGGCAGAGACACACTGGAAAGCAGGACCAGGGTACTGGCTCTATCTCTTCCTCTCCCTCCTCCTCTCAGTCTCCTGGGCGCTTCTCATCCTATCTGCCCTTCTCTTCACGCTTGTGAATCCGGCTGACAGCAAGCAGCATGGGGCGTATCCCCATGTGCTGGCGTATGCAGCTGGGCAGGTGGTAACCTGGTTACTGGCGCTGCGGGTGTTACTGCTGTATGGCAAACGGAAGGATCAGAGGCTTGTGGGTTCGGCTAGGGTTTGGCTGTTTGCGAATGCGGGTGCTGTGCTGTTGCTCTCTGCTGGTGTGGTGTTACGATTTGGTTCCCCTGGAGGGTTGAAGGCAGAATCAGGAGGGGCAGTAGGAGAAGGGGTTCTTGCTGGAAATAGCCGAGGGAATTTTGGGGTGTGGAGCGATTTTCTGACGCTGGTTACCCTTCCAGTGGCTCTCCTTTTCGGGGCGTTTGCAGTGAATGGACGGCCAGGATGGGCTCTTCCTCGTGCAGAATCTCAGCCATCGGATGTCGAAACTATAGAGGATGGGCTACGAACTCCATTGCTGATTGGTGGAGGGGCAATAAGAGAAAGCCACGTGGCAGGGAAGGAGAAGAAGCAGCATCGGAAATCGAATCTCTCAAGACCGACAGGGAAGGAGTCAGGGGCAGAAGCAGGGCAGGGGGATAAGCGCAGTCGGTCACAGTTAGAACAGTTACAGGATGAAGAGGAGGAGGAGGAGCAGGAGCAGAAGAAGCAGCAGGAGGAGCCTCCTATGACTCTCTACGCCTCTGCTGATTGGCTCTCAGCTCTCACGTTCGGATGGGTCTCGCCGTTCCTGGAGGCGGGTGCGGAGAAGACTGTGGCTGTGGAGGACGTGCCGAGCCTACAGGCCTGCGACCGCGCCGAAGCTAACTTCCGAGCCTTTGACGCCAGCTGGGCAAGGCAGGTTGCTGAGGCTGAAGCTGCCGAAGCTGCAGCAGCAAGGGGCGGGGGAGTAGGTCTTATCCCTTTCTTTAGCGGCCCCTTTTCCCTTTCGCAGGCCTGTTCCTGTGAAAACCTCTGCACCGCACTCTATCGCTGCATCTCCGTCCTCTCATCCTGCCTTCACTCCCTCAAATCCTTCCTCACCTCACTCTACACCTCTCCGTACACCCAGCAAGAAGACAGCAAAGACTCGGCCACTGCAGAAAAAACCAAGGAAGACAAAGAAGAGGAGGGAGAGCAGACACAGCCCAAGGCAACGGTAACCCGGGCTCTCTGGGAGTGCTTCTGGAGGCCGCTGGTGCTGACAGGAGTGCTGGCGCTGGGTAAAACCGGTGTGATGTATGCAGGGCCGCTGCTGCTGGCGAGCTTTGTGCAGTTTGCGGCGGGGGAGAGGGCGTTTCCGGGGGAAGGGGTGGTGCTTGTGGTCGCGCTGTTCCTGTCCAAGGCGTCTGAAATTGTTCTGGAACACCAGTTTAACTTCCGATCCGAGGTGAGTGTGGGAGAGCATAGAGGGCACAGAAGGCAGAGAGGGCACAGAAGGCAGAGAGGGCACGGAAGGAATCAAACACATGAGCAGGCTCAGTCAGGCACGCTGTGGGTTCCTGTCCAAGGCGTCTGAGATCGTGCTGGAGCACCAGTTCAACTTCCGATCCGAGGTGAGGGAGTAGAAAAGATTCACTGGGAGTACACTTGAATTGAGCATTGAGCAGGCACATTCAGCTCCCAAGGGGAGCGGGTGGTGCTCGTGCTGGCTCTGTTCCTGTCCAAGGCGTCTGAGATCGTGCTGGAGCACCAGTTCAACTTCCGATCCGAGGTGAGGGAGTAGAAAAGATTCACTGGGAGTACACTTGAATTGAGCATTGAGCAGGCACATTCAGCTCCCAAGGGGAGCGGGTGGTGCTCGTGCTGGCTCTGTTCCTGTCCAAGGCGTCTGAGATCGTGCTGGAGCACCAGTTCAACTTCCGATCCGAGGTGAGGGAGTAGAAAAGATTCACTGGGAGTACACTTGAATTGAGCATTGAGCAGGCACATTCAGCTCCCAAGGGGAGCGGGTGGTGCTCGTGCTGGCTCTGTTCCTGTCCAAGGCGTCTGAGATCGTGCTGGAGCACCAGCTCAACTTCAGGTCCGAGGTGAGACGAGGTAGCACAAAGCTTACTGGGCTGAACATCAACGCAGCACTGGTGGGCGGACTCTACTGCAGGGGGGGGCGACTTCCTCTTGTTGCCAGCATCTTTAAACCCTAACCCCAAGCACCCCTCACCACACACACCCCAGGTGCTTGGACTGGTGGCCGCGCTCTATCGAAAGGGGCTGCGCTGCGACCGAAGGGATTTTTAAAGTGTCACGGCTCTGCTCGTCACTCCCCCACCCCCACGCCATGCACACACGCTCCAGGTGCTTGGGCTGGCTGGACGTCAAAGCAGCCCTGGTGGACGCTCTCTACCGCAAGGGGCTGCAATAAAGTTTCATGCGTTTTCTTGGTGTTATTTCACTTTCATATGGCGTGCATGCACACTCCATCCAGGTGCTTGGGCTGGACATCAAAGCGGCGTTGGTGGGTGCACTCTACCGCAAGGGGCTGCGGCTGTCCAGCAAGGCGAAGCAGAGACACACCATTGGGGAGATTGTGAACTACATGTCGACAGATGCTCAGGTGCGAACGGGTTGAGAGGGGTGGAGTGGGGTACAGAGGGGTGGAGAGGGGTGAGGATGGATGGAAGTGGCATTTTTTGGGTGCACTCTACCGCAAGGGGCTGCGCCTGTCCAGCAAGGCGAAGAAGAGACACACCATTGGGGAGATTGTGAACTACATGTCGACAGATGCTCAGGTATGGAGGGGTGCAGAGGGGAGAGGAGGGATGGAGAGGGGTGGAGTGGAGTGAGAGGGATTGAGTGAGTTCGCAAGGCAAAGCGGAGGCACCCAACTGGGGAGATAGTCAATTGCATGTGCATATGACCTCATGCAGGAGTTGCAGAACATTTGTGTGCTGCTGCCACGCCTAATAACCTCTTCAGTCTCACTTCCACTCTTCCTCTCCCTTCACTTTCTTCCCACCCTCTCTCCCACTCTCAGCGCCTAGCGGACCTCATGTGGGAGTTGCACAACATATGGGTGCTGCCGCTACAGATTGTTTGCGCCCTCGTCATCCTTTTCCATGTGAGTGCTGCCAACCTCATCCTCTCAAGAGTGTGTGTCATCTGATAGAATTTGAGTCGACTCACAGCACAACATCTGGGTGCTGTGCTGCCACTACAGATCATATGCACCCTCGTCATCCTCTTCCACGTGAGTGCCTGCACCTACTACTCTCTGTAACCAATGTGAGTCTACGTGAGTTTTATTGCCAATCTTGCGCTTGCATCTAACATCCACTGCTCCATCACCACCACCATGCGAACCAAACACGCCCCTCCTCTCTCTCCCCTCCCTCCCTCTCCACCGCCCTCCCCCCGCACTACAGGTGATGGGACTATCCATGCTTAGTCACGCTCGCCAATCTCACAGTGGCATCCTGCATTCATTGATTCATCACTGCTTCAAACACGCCCCTCCTCTCTCTCCCCTCGCTCCCTCCTCTCTCTCGCCTCCCTCCCTCCTCTCCTCTCCTCTCCCTCCCTGTCCGCTCTCCTTCTTTCCCTCCCTCCCGCCCTCCCTCAATCCCTGTTCACAGGTGGTGGGCATATCCATGCTCTCTGGCCTGGGAGTGATGCTGGCAGTCATGCTCGCCAACCTTCTAGTGGCATCCGGCATCCACCGATTCATAACCGAAATCATGTCAGCCAAGGACGCGCGCATGAAGGCCACCTCGGAAGCCCTCTCCTCCATGAAGATCATCAAGCTCTACGCGTGGCAGCAGCACTTCCAGGACAAAATCCAATCGCTCCGCGACTCCGAAGCCTCCTGGCTGGTCAAATTCATGGCCTACGCAGCAGTAAACATCTTCCTCCTCTGGCTCACCCCTCTCGCGGTCTCGGTCGCGACTTTCGGCACGATGGTGGCTCTCGGTGTGCCGCTTACCCCGGCGTCGGTTTTCACTGCGATTGCGACTTTCAGGATTCTGCAGGAGCCGCTGCGGTCGTTCCCGTCGGTGATCAGCGCGGTCACGCAGGCCATGGTGTCGTTGAAACGGCTTTCGAGGTTTTTGTCTGATGAGGAGTTGCAGTGGGATGCGGTGGAGAGGGTTGGAGAGGGAGGAGGGATGGGTGGAGAGGGAATGCGGGATGGTCTGAATGGTAATGGGTATGGAGGTAATGGGGGTATCAGTCAGCAGCAGCAGGATGGGGAGGGGGAGGAGAGGGGGGTGGAGAAAGGAAATGAGGAGCCAGTGGAGGGGAAAAGGAAGAAGGAAGGTGATGATGACGTGGTGGTGAGGATTGAGAATGGCACGTTCAGCTGGGATGCGGACCCAGAGAAGACCACGTTGACTGGCGTTGACCTGGAGATCAGGCGGGGCATGCGCGTGGCGGTGTGTGGGACGGTGGGCGCGGGCAAGTCGTCTCTTCTGTCCTGCATCCTGGGTGAAGTGCCCAAGCTGCAAGGGAAGGTGAGTTCGTGGATTTAGACCACTGCTTGGAAACTAGCTAGTGGAAACTAGCTAGTGGAAACTGCTTCGTCCACACACACCTCCACGCCCTGGCAAATCCTCCCTGCTGTCCACAAACTAACAAGGTCATGTGTTTGAACAAGGGTTTTGAGACGTCTCAAATCCCTGCTGTCCACAAACTAACAAGGTCATGTGTTTGAACAAGGGTTTTGAGACGTCTCAAATCCCTGCTGTCCACAAACTAACAAGGTCATCTCTGTATTATGAAAGAGGTGCTGAAAGTGCAGGACAAGGTGACCTTGTTTGTCTCGGGTCCCACGGCCTACGTTCCCCAGTCCGCGTGGATTCAGAACGCCACCATCCGGGACAACATTCACCAGTGAATGCACACTCCTTCCCTACTCCCACTCTCCTCCCCTCTTTCTTCCCACCCTGTCTGGTGTTTATCTCGGGTCCCACGGCCTACGTGCCTCAGTCCGCGTGGATCCTGTCGAGGTGTGATGGCTTGTTCAAATCCCCCCCTTTCCCGTTCCGCCTATCTATCCCTCGCTCGCACATGTCAGGTGTGTGCATCAGGTCCCACGGCCTACGTGCCTCAGTCCGCGTGGATCCAAAACGCCACCATCCGGGACAACATTCTGTTCGGCCAACCCTTGGACCTTGCGCGCTACCACCACACGCTGCACCAGTGCTCGCTCCTCGCTGACCTGCGCCTCTTCCCCCTTCTGGGGGCAGATACGTAGATCGGGGAGAGAGGGGTGGTGAATCTCTCTCCCCCTGTCCCCACCTGCCTCCTCCTTCCTCTGTCCCTCCCTGCCCTTTCTACAGGTGTTTGTCTCGGGTCCCACGGCCTACGTGCCTCAGTCCGCGTGGATCCAAAACGCCACCATCCGGGACAACATTCTGTTCGGCCAGCCCTTGGACCGAGCCCGCTACCACCACACGCTGCACCAGTGCTCGCTCCTCGCTGACCTGCGCCTGTTTCCTTTGGGGGCCGACACGCAGATCGGGGAGAGAGGGGTGAATCTATCCGGGGGGCAGAAGCAGCGGATTCAACTGGCCAGGGCGATGTATGCAGGGGTGGGGATGGGTGCGGAGGTGTATCTGCTGGACGATCCGTTCAGTGCTGTGGACGCGCATACCGGTTCAGAGCTCTTCATGGTGAGTGGGGTTGTCAGTTGGTGTTCTCCCTCCTAGCCGACCTGCGCCTCTCCCCCCTGGGGGCCGACACGCAGATCGGGGAGAGAGGGGGGTGAATCTGTCCGGTGGGCAGAAGCAAAGGATTCAGCTGACCAGGGCGATGTACGCAGGGGTGGGGATGGGTGCGGAGATTTACCTGCTGGACGATCCGTTCAGTGCCGTGGACGCCCACACGGGATCAGAACTGTTTATGGTGAGTGGGAGAGGGGTCATTAGTTGGTGTGTTCCCCCTGTGGGCCGACACACAGATCGGGGAGAGGGGGGTGAATTTGTCCGGTGGGCAGAAGCAAAGGATTCAGCTGGCACGGGCGATGTACGTAGGGGTGGGGATGGGTGCGGAGGTGTATCTGCTGGACGATCCCTTCAGTGCCGTGGACGCCCACACTGGGTCAGAGCTCTTCATGGTGAGTTAGTAGATGAGGTTCTTGTGATGGGTCAATCCGTGTTCCCCCTGGGGGCTGACACACAGACAGGGGAGAGAGGGGTGAATCTGTCCGGCGGGCAGAAGCAAAGGATTCAGCTGGCGCGGGCTATGTATGCAGGGGTGGGGATGGGTGCGGAGGTGTATCTGCTGGACGATCCCTTCAGTGCCGTGGACGCCCACACTGGGTCAGAGCTCTTGATGGTGAGTTAGTAGATGAGGTTCTTGTGATGGGTCAATCCGTGTTCCCCCTGGGGGCTGACACACAGACAGGGGAGCGAGGGGTGAATCTGTCCGGCGGGCAGAAGCAAAGGATTCAGCTGGCGCGGGCTATGTATGCAGGGGTGGGGATGGGTGCGGAGGTGTATCTGCTGGACGATCCCTTCAGTGCCGTGGACGCCCACACTGGGTCAGAGCTCTTCATGGTGAGGGGTTTGGGGGTTCTGGGGGGTGCTCGGGGGTTCTGGGTGGTTCTGGAGGGTTCCAGCAGTTGTGGGGTTCAGGCCTCTTTACCTGGTGATTGAGTGGTCAGTTGGAGCATAATCTCCCCTTACTCCCTCCGCTCATCCTTCCCTCCTCTGGCCCTCTTCCCCCCTCATCTATACCATTCTGTTGCAGGAATACGTGCTCAAGGGGCTGGCGGGCAAGACAGTCATCCTGGTGACGCATCAAGTGGAGTTCCTTCCCTCTGCTGCCTGCCGCATTGCCCTCCTCCTTACTCCCTTCGCTCATCTGTTGCTCCTTCTTTCCCATCATCACCCTTTTTTCAGGAGTACGTGCTCAAGGGCCTGGCAGGGAAGACAGTCATTCTGGTGACGCATCAAGTGGAGTTCCTTCCCGCTGCTGACACCTGCCCCCATCTCCCCTTCCCGCCTGCTCCCCCCACCCCCCTTCCCCCCCAAATACTATTCCCTCCAGGAGTATGTGCTCAAGGGCCTGGCAGGGAAGACAGTCATCCTGGTGACGCACCAAGTGGAGTTCCTTCCCGCTGCTGACCTCATTCTGGTGAGATGCTGACATCATTATGATGAGATACTGACCTCATCTCTGACAATTTGCTGACGTGCTGATGCGGTCTTGATGTGGTGCTGCTGTTGCAACTCATTCCGCGTCGAGTTGAGTCGAATTGAGTCGAGTTGGTGCGCAACGGTTCTAGTGCGGAAGCTTTTACAGACGCCTCTTTCTCACACCCTTAACTCAACCGCCTGTCACCCCTTCCCCCATTCACTCTTCTTAATCACCAGGTGATGAAGGAGGGGCGCATAGTGCAGTCAGGGAACTACGTCCAGCTGCTGGCAGAGGGCACGGACTTCAGTGCCCTGGTGGAGGGGTGGATGGGTAGAGCACACACAGACACACCTCTTTCTCCCCTCTCCCTCCCCCCCCCAAACACCACCAGGTGATGAAGGAGGGGCGCATAGTGCAGTTGGGCCGCTACGACCAGCTGCTGGCAGAGGGCACGGACTTCAGTGCCCTCGTGGAAGCACATACTGATGTGCTTACTGTCCCTCCGTCGCCCTCCCCTTCTGTTCCCACCACCAGGTGATGAAGGAGGGGCGTATCGTGCAGTCAGGGCGCTACGACCAGCTGCTGGCAGAGGGCACGGACTTCAGTGCTCTTGTGGAAGCACACACTGATGCGCTGGAAACCTGTCAATCCCTCCATTCAGTTTTCCCACCCTGCCTCTCACTCCCCTCTCCCCACACGAGTAGGTGATGAAGGAGGGGCGCATAGTGCAGTCAGGGCGCTATGACCAGCTGCTGGCAGAGGGAACGGACTTCAGTGCTCTCGTGGAGGCACACACTGATGCGCTCGAGAGTGTTGGGACTGCCACTGCTGCAGCTGCTACCACTGCTGCCGCTGCTGTTACCGCCGCTGCCAATGCAGCTGCTGCTGCTGCTGCCGCCTCATCTGCTGCTGCGGCTACTCCTGCTGCTCCCGCTACCTCAAAAGATGCCATTGGTGTTCCTGCATCGGCATCCTCATCTGCTCCTCTCCTCCCCAAGCAACCCGTCGATCCAATCCACAGCAACCCGCACCTCTCGCAGCTTCGGAAACAATCCGCACCGAACCTGCGAAAAGGCTCGGAACCGAACCTGCTGCGCAAGGCCTCGCACTCGCAGCTTCGGAAAATGTCCGACCCTATGCTGCTGCACACAGCCTCCCCAGAATCCCACCAGATTCTAGAGAACATGGAAGTGGGGGAATCAGATGGTGCTGCTGCTGGTGCTACTGGTTCTGCTGGTGGTGCCGGTGGTTCTTTAGGGGGGGCTGCAGGGGAGGACGGGGATGGGCAGTTGATCAGTAAGGAGGAGCGGGAGTCTGGGCGGGTTTCTTTGGCTGTATACTGGCAGTACATGACGAAAGCGATGGGCGGCTGGCACGTGCCGCTGCTGCTGCTGGTCCAGCTGGCGTGGCAGGCGCTGCAGATCGGATCTGACCTGTGGCTGGCCACGTACAGCTCAGCAGGGGCGGAGAACAGCTCAGCAGAAGCAGGATACACGTCAGCAGGGGCCGGATTCAACAAAAGTATTCTAAGCAACCTCACCTCTCCTCTCTCCTCTCCTCTCGCCTCGAGTCTTTCCTCCTCCTCCTTCACCCCATCCTTCTCCTCCTCACTCTCCTCCTCCTTCTCCTCCCCTCTCTCATTCCTCACCCCCTCAGCCATCACCCCATCAGCCTTCATGAAGCTATACTCGTTATTAGCTCTGGGCAGCGGCCTGTTTGTGCTGCTGCGTACAGCAGTCATATCGTGGGCGGGTGTGATGACCACCCAGGCGTTCTTCCGAAGCATGCAGCAAACTGTATTCCGAGCGCCCATGTCCTTCTTTGACTCTACTCCCATCGGACGAATCTTATCCCGGGTAAGAAGAACACATGAGCAGAGAGTGGGTGCGCTAATAGAGGTGCAGTCATATCGTGGGCGGGTGTGATGACCACCCAGGCGTTCTTCCGAAGCATGCTGCAGACCGTGTTCCGAGCGCCCATGTCCTTCTTTGACTCTACTCCTATCGGGCGAATCCTATCCCGGGTAAGAAAGACCCATGGAACACATCTCTCCAGTGAAAGCAAGGTACTGTCGCACTGGGCAGGGGTGATGACCACCCAGGCGTTCTTCCGAAGCATGCTGCAGAGTGTGTTTCGCGCCCCTATGTCCTTCTTTGACTCTACTCCTATCGGGCGAATCTTATCCCGGGTAAGAACAACAAGGAAAGCAGAGAGATGGTGCCATAATAGAGGTACTGCAATACTAGAGTAGGGGGGGGGGGGGGGAGTGATGACAACTCAGGCGTTTTTCCGAGGAATGCTGCAGTCCGTTTTCCGAGCGCTGTTCCAGCTATATCGAAATCACTTTTGAGAATTCTCAAAAGTGATTTCGATATAACGAGCGCTGTTCCAGTCCAGCTTCGCGGGACCCTCCTCACCACCTCTCTCCTCCTGCCCCTGCTCTCACCTTCTCTCCGCCCCTCTCCAGGCCTCCACAGACCAAAGAGCACTCGACTTGTTCCTCCCACTTCAGTTAGGTTCTCTCCTCGCCATGGTCTTCCAGCTCCTCGGGATCCTCTTCGTCAAATCCTTCCCCTTTTCCCCCCCTTGCCCATTTGCTTTCCCCCGTGTCCAGGCCTCCACGGATCAGAGTGCTCTCGACCTTGATCTGCCGTTTCAGTTTGGTTCGCTCTCCTCGCAATGGTGTTCCAGCTGCTCGGCATTCTGTTTGTCACCTCCTTCCCCCTTTTCCCGCTCTGCCCATCCCCTTTGCCCCCTGTCCATATGCAGGCCTCTACAGACCAAAGTGCACTCGACTTGGACCTGCCATTTCAGTTTGGCTCGCTGCTCGCAATGGTGTTCCAGCTGCTCGGCATTCTCTTTGTCACCTCCTACATCACGTGGCCTGTGTTCTACGCCATCATCCCATTGACGTACCTCTACTTCTCTTTCCAGGTGAGAGATACCCTCACTCAGTAACACCTTCCCCAGCTGAGAATCCACCACGTAGCCACAATTAGCACCTGCCCCTCATAGCCCTAACATCACATCCTACATCACATGGCCTGTGTTCTACGCCATTATCCCATTGACATACCTCTACTTCTCCTTCCAGGTGAGAGAATTCGACTGCTAACACCCATAATACCTGGATCCCTCGCATCACCTCCAACATCACATGGCCTGTGTTCTACGCCATTATCCCTCTCTTACATATCTCTACTTCTCCTTCCCAGTGAGAGACACCTGTAACACCCCGTATGTCGTATGCATGAAAGTTCAATCATCACAATCTTCGTTACCCTTAATTTATCGAGATGAATGAAAATTTCAAGTCATACCAAACGTTAACTCAGCTATGCTCAATAAGAAAAGAAATCCTCGTGTTTTCAAATCCTATCCATGCAGTCAGCATTGATCTAAAAAGATTATATCTGTGTTATATATATACCTGTTCACTTAAAGATTCACTATCATGATATCGAGGGAGCTCTATCGTCTGAATGGAGTCACCAAGGCGCCCATTAACAAGCTTCCTATAAAGTGGAAATGTGTTAAGAATACCATTTCCATGTTCAAAATTTCATCCCCCCCCCCTTTCTCTCAGGAGTACTATCTAATGACATCGAGGGAGCTCTCTCGTCTGAACGGGGTTACCAAGGCGCCCATCATTGAGCACTTCAGCGAGTAAGGACGAAAAGCCTCTTGGCTTGAACGGACTGGTGGAATATGCTTTGTGACGTTTCAGGTCAGAGCTGTTCTACACCCCAAGCTTGAAGCAACTCTGTTTTTATTCGACCTAAAATTGGCTTGAAAGGTCTGGTGGCCCGTGGCTTGTGACCTTTCAGGTTTAACACTAGCTTGATGCATCTCGATCAACACTTGTTTTCAAAACTCTCAAAACTCTCATTGCTGTTGAGAGTTCCCAAAAGCAAACACTCTCTCTTCTCTCCTCCCCAGGTCACTATTTGCCAGATGACAACTGTCATCCCATCATTCGCCCAGCATTCCCCCTCACTATCCCTCCCTCTTACTCTCCTCCCCCCACTCAGGTCCCTGTCAGGGTCAGCAGTGATTCGAGCATTCGCCCAGCAGCCCCGATTTGCTCAGAAGAGCGCCGAGAGGGTTGACACCAACAACCTCCTGATCCCAACACCCCACTTTCTCCCGTCTGTCCTCCTCTCTCCCTCTCAGGTCGCTGTCAGGGGCAGCAGTGATTCGAGCATTCGCCCAGCAGCCCCGATTCGCTCATAAGAGCGCAGAGAGGGTGGACACCAACAATCGAGTGGCATTTCATTACGGCGCATGCACCGTGTGGCTGGGTGTGCATCTGGAGCTGCTAGGGGCGCTGTTGCTGTGCTTCTCGGCTTTCATGCTCGTGTGGCTGCCTCCTTCAGTCATTTCCCCAGGTGAGCGCATACACAGAGATCGCTTTGGAGTGACTTTTGCAAGCAAGCAAGCAAGCAAGCAAGCAAGCAAGCAAGCAAGCAAGCAAGCAAGCAAGCAAGCAAGCAAGCAAGCAAGCAAGCAAGCAAGCAAGCAAGCAAGCAAGCAAGCAAGCAAGCAAGCAAGCAAGCAAGCAAGCAAGCAAGCAAGCAGAATTCTCAAAAGTCACTCCAGGTGAGCGCATACACAGAGATCGCTTTGGTACCAAGCAAGCAAGCAAGCAGCCAAACCAACCACTGAGTGGCCTTCAGATATGGCGCATGCACCGTGTGGTTGGGAGTTCACAAGGAGCTACTAGGGGCGCTGCTGCTGTGTTCCTCGGCGCTCATGCCCGTGTGGTTGCCTCCTTCGGTGATCTTGCCAGGTAAGCACAGACAATCCCTAGCATCCAGCCATTTTCCAGCAACATACAGTCCAACAACCGAGTGCCCTTCCACTACGGTGCATGCACCGTGTGGCTGGGGGTGCATTTGGAGTTACTGGGGGCGTTGCTGCTGTGCTTTTCGGCCCTCATGCTCGTGTGGCTGCCCCCCTCAGTCATTTCTCCAGGTAACAACACGCGCACACAGACCTGTTTGTCTCTCTCCAGCCTTTTCTACGTGTGGTGGGTCTGGTGCGCCCTTGAGATTAGATGCTTCCACATACCTAACTCTCTTGCTTGCCCCACACCCCCTCAGGTCTGGCGGGCATGTCTCTGTCGTACGGCCTGGCCCTATCTCAAGGCCTATTCTACGTGGTGTGGCTCTTGTGAGCGCTCTCCTATATACCATATCCTCCTGTTTTCCCTTCCCTTCTCCCCTTTTACCAGACAGGTCTGGCCGGCATGTCTCTGTCGTGTGGCCTCGCCCTTTTCCAAGGCGAATTCTATGTGGTGTGGGTGTGGTGCGCGCTTGAGAACCAAATGGTCTCAGTCGAGTGAATCCTCCACTTCTCCCACCCCAACATGCCCATGTCTCATGCCTTTCTCTTCTTGCCTCCCTTCCTCCTTTTCCCTCCCTTTTCCCCCTCACTACCATTATCTGTTCTCAAACAGGTTTAGCGGGCATGTCTCTGTCGTACGGTCTCGCCCTCTCTCAAGGCCTCTTCTACGTGGTGTGGGTGTGGTGCGCGCTTGAGAACCAGATGGTCTCCGTAGAGCGAATCCTCCAGTTTTCCCACCCCAACGTGCCCCCCGAAGCACCGCTCTCCATCCCTTCCCACCGCCCTCCATCCTCCTGGCCCGACCGCGGCGCAATCACCTTCGAAAACCTCCAAATCCGGTACCGACCGGACCTCCCATTGGTTCTCAAAGGCGTGAGCTTGCAGATCAACGGTGGAGAGAAGGTCGGGGTGGTCGGGAGGACCGGCAGCGGGAAATCAACGCTCGTCGTCGCTCTGTTTCGGCTCGTCGAGCCAACGGCAGGCCGGGTGGTAATCGATGGTGTGGATACAACCAGGATCGGGCTGACGGACCTGAGGAGCAGGCTCGCGATCATTCCTCAGGACCCGACCCTGTTCCAAGGCTCGGTTCGGATGAATGTGGATCCGGCTGGGGAGTATCGGGATGAGGAGATCTGGGAGGCGCTGGACAGGTGCCAACTGGGGGAGGTGGTTCGTGGCATGGAAGAAAAACTGGAAGCACAAGGTGAGGGTTGTAACAGTGTGGTTGGGGGGGAGAACAGAACAGTATGGGTGAATCCTGGTTGTGGGAGGCGCTGGACAGGTGCCAACTGGGGGAGGTGGTTCGTGGCATGGAGGAGAAGCTGGAGGCGCAAGGTGAGAGGGGGAAGGATGACGTGCGGAATAGAGAAGCTGGGGGCAGGTGTTTTTTGTGGGGGAGGTGATTTGTGGCATGGAATAGAAGCGGGGGGTGCGAGGTGAGTGGGGAATTGTGAAGGGTGGAGTGGGGTCATTGTTCGAAAGAGGTTGTGGTGCTGCTCCGGTATCGTCCAAGAGGTGTTTGGTTGTTTAAGGCGCCCCAAAAATAGACAGGTATGGCCCAGTCAAAGGTTTAATTCTCTTCAGGGAACCCCACCGTCTTCCTCTTATGTCAGTCCTCCCACCAACCCCTCCTCTTCATACGTTTCCCCCTCTCCAGTGGTGGAAGGAGGGGAGAACTGGAGTGTGGGGCAGAGGCAGCTGTTCTGTCTCGGGAGGGCCTTGCTGAAGCGCACCCGCATTCTTGTGCTGGATGAGGCAACAGCGTCCGTTGATTCCGCGACCGACGCGGTGATCCAACGGACGATAAAGGAGTGCTTTGGCGACGCCACCATCATCAGCATCGCGCATCGGATTGCGACTGTGATCGACAGCAATAAAGTGGTCGTCATGGACCAAGGTGGGTGCTGTAGCTTCTTTATTCTGTGTTCCAGAGAGTATGATGAGGTGCTTAGAAGGTGTATAAGGTATTGTGCATCAGATTGCCGTGGTTATCACTTGCATAGTAGTGGTGGTCATGGAGCAAGTTGCAAGTACTCCAATGGCAAATCGAGCTAATGCAATGCGTTTGTATGGTTGTACGTGAATTCTGCATGGCATTGGTGCATTCTCTCAACAGAGATGTTCATATGCTTATGTGTGCTTGTGTACTTCCTCCTTCGCCCCATGCAGGCACTGTAGCCGAGTGTGACGAGCCGGCTAAGCTCCTGGAGGATAAGACATCCATGTTCTCGCGTCTTGTAGCCGAGTACTCTGCTCGCTCCACCGACATGGCGGATGTTGCAAGGAGCATGTCCATAGATAACCTGGAAGCTGTTGGTAGAGAGTCATCGTCATGAGTTGTGACGTGTAAAGATGCCAGAGAAAACAATGCCAAGGCATACGTTTGAGAAAACTCTGTAACCACTTATTTCCGTTAAAACCAAGTGTATGTTATCTCGTTCTTGGGAGAACAGCTCAGGTGCCACGTGTTCTGCATCTTGCTGTGATATCATTAGGTTGTGGTAGTTGATCAGTGAAGATAATGCAAGTTCTTGAATGCAGTGAATGTACTGACGGATAGTCTTGTTTCGAATCACGACGCTGACGGAACAGAAACGCAATCCATTGGAGCAAGCCCCCGTGTCGAGCGTGTTAGTCACGTCATATGCAGCCAATTACGGCACACCGTGAGTCTCGGGTGACCCGACGGAGTGATGGTTCGACATCGCCGAGCCAATGACTCGGTCGCCGAAGCTTTCGCGAACTCCACAACCAGATGTCGCGCTCGTCGATATTTTAGAGAGAGATAGCAAACCTATGATTGACCGTCCGATCTCACGCTCGACGGTCAATTGAGCGTCCCGCGAAGTTCGCCACACCAGACCTGCCTTCCGCTGCATGGCAGGGTGTAGGGTGAGAGGGCGTGTGTGGTGTGCATCTGGGCTATTCGAAGAGGGCGTAAATTTGGACGTTGAGCACGGCTGTGCGCGGTTTCGTGTGGCGCAGTAGGGTGAAGGACGATACAAACAACGCCTATCCAAAACAGCTCTCTGCTGAAAGCAGAAATTTATTCAAAGCGCCTCCTAATTCACGCCTTGTCTTAAGCTAAGTGCTCCATGCCCTTTTAGCCTGCCCTGAAACAGCAGTCCCTGGTCATTTTGGACTGCCACGGCGTAGGTGGCTGAGTTAGAGCCGTGAGCGTAGTCTTCTTCATTAGCCGTGTTCTCAGCTTACCCGTGGAAGCCGCTGGTTGACGACTCTGATTTTCTTGCGGAGCGCCATGGGTGGAGGTGAGTTAACTACTATTGTGTCCATTCACTTCAGAGTTTCAGCGATGCGTATTACGAAGTTTAGATTAACCAAACTACGGAATAATTTAGCGTTGTGCTTTCCTATTTGGTCCCATGCTGTGAATTGTATGTTCCTTAAGTAGGTGTCCATTTCTAGCCTGTATATACTGTGCGTCATTTTCCAGACCCCCCTGTACGTTTGTTAAATCTTCTTCTATTTCTTCTTCCCTCGTTGTTTACTCCCAGGAAAATGGCCGCCGCGGGTGCGCGAGGGAGACGCGGAAGGCGAGGGAGGCGTGGAGGCGTCTTGGGAATTGCTGCCGCTGTCGCCGTCAGGATCAGACAGTGAACACTCGGACACGGAGCGACTGGAAGACGAGGAAACAAAGCAGTTGAAGGGCGTGGACACGGAACAGTCAGAAAATAAGGATGCGGAGCGATTGGAGCACGGATTACGAGTGCTGGTTTCTGATGGAATCGAGATTTCAGGCGACGTATGTGCTCTCTGCGATAGTGTTGTTGCTGACGTCGACTCCCCGCCTGCTGACGGCGACTCCCTGCTTTTTGACGTTGAATCCCCACCTGCTGACGTTGAATTTCTTCCTACTGACGTCGGCTCGCATCCCGTGGATGTGGAGCGCCCTTACGTGCCCGAGACTACGTCAGATGACGGCCACCTCACGCATCAGCAGCCAGCTGATCAGACGGCTGAGCTGACGGCCGAATTGACGGCTGACCGTCAGCAGCAGGTAGCTAAGGAGACGGCTGGAGAGGGGCCGGTGGCTGCTCCCGTAGCTTGTCCAGACGCCGTTGACGCCGCCTCTCACGCTGCGAACGAGGGAGGGGACGGGACCGAGGGGATTCTAAGCGAGGGTGGGAAGGATGACAAGAGTGAAGGAAGTGAGATACCGCAGGAGCAGGAGAAAATGAAGAGCGTTCTGCTGCTGGTCGAGGCGGATCTCTCTTCTGCCTCCGCCTCTGGTGCTGCTACCGCCAGCAGCAACGATCAGGCGAAGCTGGCTCAGCGCCTGGCTGGCGCTCTGCTGCACAGCGCAGGTGCCACCCCCCCTTCTCCGGCAGGCACAGATGCATCGCCCCCAGGTGCCACCTCCCCCGCTCCTCTGCCACTCAGGCCGGCTGTAGGAGAAGGCTCTTTGGGGGTTTTGCCTGCCGTGGGGGAGTTGAGCTCATCTTTGTTGGTGGTGCCGTTTGCCCCAGCAGCAGCTGATTTTCTGCTGGCGGATATTCTGGCGTCTGGGCTCGAACCACTGCCTGCTGCCACTGCTGACGTGGACAATTTGAAGACTAGCAGCCAATCAGCGGATGCCACCTTAGCGGCAGGTGTCACCTCTTCTTCGTCTTTCAATCCAGTGCCACCAGTGCACGTGTCAGTGGCCGTGCTTGTGCTCTCTGCAACGGACCTGAACGAAGTCCGGCTATTGCTGTGTGAAAGGGAAGAGAAAAGGTGTGAGAAGGAGGAGGGGAAGGAGGTGGGGCCAGATTCTACCGCTGCTGCTGCTGCTGCTGCTGCTCTTGTGAAGCAGCTCCGGGAGCAGTACGATGTGCTTCGTCTCGCATTTAGATGTAAGCCCCTGAGTCTCAGGTTTGCTGGTTCTTTCTGTCGCTTTTTTTTTTTTGTTTTTTTTTCTCCATCAACAGAGATCACCTCTTCGTACTGCTACAGTTCGCCTTCTCTCCTTCTGACCCTGTCCTTCCCTCCTATTCATACCTGCCCCTTTTTATTCTTGCAGACATCCAAGGCGCTCCGCCCATTGCTCTCCTTGACACTCACTGCCTCTCACCTGATACCTTCTCCCACTGCCGTTCCTTCCTCCTCTCCTCGCTGCACCTCCCCTCCTCGTGGCCCGTCTTGTCCATCCCCTCTCTGCTGAAACCACCTGGCGAGTTGGATTCACCTGCACCTGCCAATGCATCTGAGACCGAAGGATTGCCTGAGAAATCACCTGAGGAGGCATCGGCTGCGCAGGAATCACCTGAAGAATCACCTGACAACAGCAACAGCAGCAGCGTAATCGAGGAATCAGCCCACGTTCTCTGCCCCGCCTCTGTGGGGGCTTTGCTTTGCTCGGTGATGCACATATCTAGCCTCTCACTTGAGCTACAGCAAGTGGCGAAGAAGATCCAAGCAGGCGCGCAGGGAGTGGGGATGAATCGAGAAGGGGTGAGTGGAGCTGATACAAGCAGGTCAACCGAGTCAACTCAGTCGAAGCAGCCAGAGGATTCCAGCAAGTGGGCGGCGCTTTGGCACGCAGCAGATGCCCTCTCTTCCGGCCGGCTTTCCCACACCCTCACCACCGTCACCCCACACCTGCACCACCTGCACCAGATGTACCTCCCCTTCAAACCCCACCTCCACCAGTTCACCCTGCACTTGGATCACCGATTCCCCTCCCTCCGCCCGCGCATCCGCTCCCTCTACCGCAACCCACGCAGGCTGGTGCTCCCGCTCTCGCTCCTCCTCCTCGCGCTCCTCCTCCTCTCGTTCCTCCTCTCGGGACTTGTCTTTTTCGCGCTTCGCTCCTGGGTGTACCACGGTGCACCACTGCCGTTCCCCTTTGACCTCCTGCTCTCGCCTGTTTTCGAAGTCGTTGCGGCCGTGTGCGGGTGTAATTCTCATGGGAGAAATCCTGCTGCTGGCGCCGCTGGTGCTGCTTCTGGTGCTGGTCATGGTGGCTGCAGCACGGGGCCTTATTTTGGGCCGTACAATAACGAGGACAAGGGAGGCTGGGGCAGCTTTTGGCCTTCATCCCACCATCATCACCGCCAGCACTATTACTATCGCACAAGGTGGGCTCCCGCACGGTAGCGAGTCAATTATCCGGGCCGTACGATAAGAGGATAGGGGAGTACGGGGCAGCTGGTGGGGGTACCTTCAGCACTAATACTATCGCACTAGGTGGGCACCAGCACGGTAGTGCCTTATGTCTCAAGACTTGAACATCTGAGCTGCATCGTAAGGAGGAAAGGGGAGGATGGGGGAGTTTGTTGGGTTATTGGCTCTTGTCTTCCCATCACTAGCATTATCAGCACTCTTACTACTACCGCACAAGGTTGACTGCGGCAGGTAAGTGAAGTGAGGAAGGATTCACACAGCAACACTGTTATTACTATCCCACTGATCTGGAGTTTGAGGGAACTGCTGTGGACTGTCCTGGCCTGTTGCCATGTTGAGGTGCGCTTTAGGATCACATGCATAATTGTATGTAGCAACATGTGTATAAAATGCTGTATATAAGCTTGAAGGAGGCTGTGCTGGCACTCGGATGCAGCTGATATTGCAGGTTTGCTTAGGAGATCCTGTGCATGAGTCTGGGTGTTCACACACTCTTGTTGCTACTCAGAGCATCTGCTCTCGTCGTGTCAACTGCTCCCATCCGAAAGCAACAGTTTGAAGTGCTGTAAGGGCGGGTCCAACTTTGCACAATCCCGTTTTTTTTTCGTTATTTTTACGTCAATGCACTAGTCAAACTTGACTGTACCCCAGGGCGAACTCCAAACATTTCTTGTCCAGTTCCGAGTGCACAATTCAGACTTTTGCCAAGGTACAGTAACGCTGCGGGGTACAGTACCTGGGATGAAAGGTTACCCAATAAAGCGAGGTTTATCGCACCTGTGACGGAGGGGAGATTTATTGGCGAAAACAAATTAGCGAAAACAGGTGTTACCTTTTGGCGTATTTGACGCGAAACGAGTTTGACGTGAACCTTCGGACGGGTTCTGCACGTCCCCGGGCACATTTCCGAAATGTCATCATACCGTATACTCCCGGACAAAACACCCCCCCATAATTGTACACCCCCGGGTAGCTTGTGCGGGGTGGGCAGGGCTCAGGTTTGCAGTGTAATTTACCCTTCTATACTGATTACAAGGGTGAATTTTTTGGTCTACACTGATGTGCTGGGGTAATTTTTTGGTGAGTTAGTGTTACACTGATCTGTAAGTGTAATGATTTAGGCCACACTGATGCTCTGGGGTAATTTTTCCCTTAGCGAAGATTACCCTGAAGAGCGTACAGGGACTCCCCCCCCCCTCGGAAACTCTACTTATTGAGAAGAAGTTTCCTATAACTTTCGTAGCGATACACCCAATTTCGTAATGATGCACTACGACGCCAGCACACGTGAGTACTGACAACCGACACCGTGTCACTCCGTGTCTGCTTGCAACCTACCCGTTACTGTAGAGGCGATGCAACCTGATTGGTCGAAGCTGCACTCTCTGCAAGAACGTCAACTTTCTTGACTCGGAAATTTGGGACTCGAGGTTTCCGAACACACTCGAAATTTGCTGACTTGGCGAAAAATACAAGTGTTGCAGCGAAACCAGACAAGCCACTGCGCTCGACTTTTGAGTTCACATCACAACTCCCACCCACCAGCGCCCAGCTTACGATAGTAATCGTGCGCGATTTGGGCCTCGAGCTTGATTGCAGCCAGCACATATTGAGCAGCCTTAAGTACAATCAGGGTAAACAATATACCTACACTGATGCCTCTGGGTAAAGTTTTCAAAACTTCAAGTTACACTGATCCATCAGTGTTTCCAAAAAGGGCACACTGCTCAGAAGGGTTTTGAAAATGTCTACACTGCTAATCGTGAGTAGGCAAAATCCAAACCTAAGCCCTAGGGGTGGGTGTTATGATAGACCTCGTTTCTACTATACCGTATGGCCCCGGATATAAGCGCAGGCCTATGTTAAGCGCATGCGCTTATATCTGGAGCAATGCGCTTATGGCCGGTCCTCAATTATAAGCGCACCCCCTGTAAAACCTTGACTTATTATAAGCGCATCAATAATTCTACTATTAAATCCTGATTAATACAGTAACGATTTCCCTTTTTGCAGCGAGTCCAGATCCGTTCCTACTTGTTTGACTCGCTCGAGGGCGAGCGATTCGCAGGAGAAGCGAAACGGCGTGAAGCTGACTGACTGACAGCACATCGTTGGAAGGGGGGGGAGGGAAGATGGGCGCTGGAAACGACTGTCCTGTGCGTTGTGCGAGCGAATAAGGGGCAGGCGAGGGGGCTCGGGAACGACTGTGCCTCTGCGCTGCGATCAAGCGACTCCGTGCGACTGGCTCGTACATTGGTTCGGGGCGAGCTTGACACATCCCTCTGCGTTGTGAGTCGTGACGTGTCTTCGCCCCTGTGCGGCGGCTGAAATCGCCCTCGCGCGATTCTCTGATGTGGGACGCCGTAATGTTCTGATTCGATTGAAATTGCACGACAGAGATGTACATTTGAGAAAGCTTGCTTTCTGATTATTACAAGGCAACGTGCTTCATTTTAATTGGCAAGGCAACGTGCTTCATTTTAATTGGGTAATTACAACATTCTCGTCCAACTTACACATTACATAAACATCAACTAGGGGTGGGCGGGGGGGAAGCAGAACTGAAAAGTTCCGAAATGAAGACGTGGGTGGAGGCCAAATGGCCTCCAACCCTCGTTATGTACTCGGGAAGAGGCATTCCCAGTTGCCTTGCTTCACTACAGTCAGCTGCGCTTTCACAATCTTTATTTTTAGAAAGTGTTTCACACTTTCAAAAAATGTCATATTGAGAAAGCTTGCTTTCTGATTATTGCAAGGCAACGTGCTTCATTTTAATTGGGCCTTCTGAGACATGTGCGTGCATGGGCTAAGCGTAGATCGCGAAGCCGGTTGATGGCGATGTCCAGTGATATCAGTTGTTGGTGCAGGTCGTTGCATTCCCTGTCGACGTGGTTATGCGAGTTGCTCCCTCCTTTGGTAGATGTAGGTGCCCTTCGTTGTTGGTGGAGAGGGGGCCCGTGGTTTAGAATGATTGTTATGCTGGCATGCGCGGTGGGGAAGATGGTTGTTGAAGACGGCCCATGTGTCAGTGATGAAGCTCCCAGTGTTGCGCGTAGACTGGTGCCGCGATTTTGATGTTGTTTGGTCGATGACGCGGCGTAGGGTCTGTGAAATGAGTAAGCAGGAATGAGGTGAACTATGAATGAAAGCAGTACAAATGTGAAACCCTAACTGGGTTGTACCCCCTATGGGATACCCCACTACAGCCTACACAGCAGTATAAGCTATAGACATGTTCTGACACACCCCCATAGGCAAAGTGGGGGAGAACAAAGGGTCACAAGACCAGTCAAGCAAGACAAAGCAAAGCTCAGGGTGGATCACAAAGTCACCACACAATCCGAGCACAAGAGCAAGGCCAAAGGCCAGTTCACAAGCAAGAGTACAGACATATATATATAAAACTAGACTAGCAAGAGCAGGTATATATATATGTCACAGTACAAGTAAAGTCAAGAGGAGAGCAAGTGAGGCAAGACAGGCACAAGACCCAGCTGGGTGCAGAAGCGCTGATGGTCACAAGGCGCAAGTGCCTTGGTGAACACATCAGCAGTGTTGGCCTCAGAGGCCACGTACGCAAGTCGCAACTGACCACGCTGCTGCAACTCACGAGCAAGGAAGCAGCGGAGAGCAATGTGCTTCGTTCTGTGCTCCAAGCGCTGCTCTCGACACAAGGCCAGCATAGCCTTGTTGTCTACGTACAGCACTGGAGGAGAACGAGGCGGCTCTCCTAGGTCAGTCAGCAGGTAGGTGAGCCAGCGAAGCTCCTGTGCAGCCATGGCTCCGGCGTAGATCTCAGCCTCACAACTGGAGCCGAGAACCGAAGACGAGCGAGTAGACCGCCACGAGACAGAGCCGGAACCAAGGCTGAAGGTGTAGCCCTGTGACGACCGCTGCGTAGCCTGGTCGTCAGCCCAAGAAGCGTCCGCGTGGCCGGTAAGGACCACTGGACTCCGCCCTCCAAGCACTAGCCCCATGCCTGACGTACTGCACAGGTAGCGCAATACCCTCTTCGCTGCAGCCATGTGCTCCGGTCTGTGTCTCCCAGGAGCAACATAGCGCGCAAGAATGCTCAGAGGGTATGCAAGGTCAGGTCGTGTGCAGGTCATCAGGTACATGAGGCAGCCAACAAGCTCTGCATACGGACCACTCGACTCTACGGACTCATCCGAAGGCAGAGCTGAGAGTGAGTGGCGAGTAGGCAGAGGAGTGGCCTGAGGCGAGGAGTACGTGAAGCCGAAGCGCTGAAGGACCTGCTGCACCATGTGTGACTGAGTCAAGGTAATGGTGCGGCGTGCTCTGTCCCGAGTGATCTGCAAGCCAAGGTAGCTGCGCAGTTCACCCAGGTCTGTGCACGTGTGTCTCTTCAGCAGCTCGGACTTCACGTAGGCGAGTCCAGCAGTGTCCGCTGTGGCAAAGACCAAGTCGTCGACGTACACGAGGATGTAGAACGGCGGCAGGGAAGTGTCGGTGCGAAGAAACAGCGACGGGTCAGCAGTAGAAGGAGCAAACCCAAGAGCCGCAAGCGTAGTCCTCAGTGTGTCGTGCCACTCACGCGGTGCCTGGCGGAGACCGTAGACTGGCCGTCTGAGGCTCCACTGGGTGCCAGGAGGGAAAGTCCCAGTGAAGCCAGGTGGACGGCGAAGCCAGATCTCCTCGTGCAGGCTACCCTGCAAGAACGCAGTGCTGAAGTCGAGAGAGTGAAGCTCGTAGTCGCGCTGAGCGGCTATGTGCAGCAGCACCCGAAGAGTAGTCATCTTCGGGGTGGGAGAGAAGGTCTGAAAGTAGTCAACTCCCTGCCGCTGACTGAAGCCACGAGCAACGTACCGTGCCTTGAAGACAGGTGGAGAGCCCGGCGGCCGCTTCACCCTGAAGATCCACATGCCACTGACGATGTTCGCCCCAGGAGGGGGAACCGCGTCAACGTAGGTGCCTGTGGACTTCCAGGAAGCCATCTCTGCATCCATGGCTGCCTGCCACTGAGAGGAGTAGGGGCCCTCTACGGCCTCCGCGTAAGAACGCGGAGTCGGGATGTCTAGTGCATCCGGGTCTCCCTCAGGGGCAAGCAGTACAGACGCGAGATGAGGTGAAGCAGCCGCTAGACACTGTAACTCCTCCTGCCTGTCCTCTAGGACGTCCGTGCCAAGAGCACACTCACCCCCGACGGACGGAGGACAGACAGACGCAGACTCAGCAACAAGACTAGCAGCGTAGTCGAGACGACAGCGAGCAGCAAAGTCGACGAGCTCAGCGACTAGAGCAGACGCAGCAGTGGACTCAAAAGAGGGGTCAGTGACGAGAGTAGCAAGCAGACGCGTGACAGTAGGACTCGCAGCGCGAAGAGAGTCCGACTCAGGGTCGGCAAGCGCAGGAAGAGAGGACTCAGGAGGAGAAGGCAAAGGGGCACGCAGAGGAGCAGTGGACGGACGCAGAGACATCCGGTGCGTGCCAGGGACAGGAGGAGGACGCTGACGCGAACCGCGACCACTAGCGCGAGCAGCACGAACAGGCGACGCGGGGCGAGACGCAGGCTCACGACGCTCAGCAAGACCTCCAGTAGGACCAGTGT